TTTATTCATAAATTATAACATAAATTATATATTCCTGAAAATTTTCAGGTAATAATCATGAGTAGTAAATATTATGTACTATTAATGTACCATAGTTGACTGTAGTATTACTCCATTTCTTATTTTTCATTATTATGTATTATGATTATTTGAACATTTCCTATAGAAAATATTATTGTATTCCACAATTTATTCTAGATTTTATTCCTAGGAAAGTATAGGAATATGGATTTTTGAGAATTTCATACATAAATACTATATATATATATATATATATATATATATATATATATATATAATTTCACCTCCCCCTCTCACCTATCCAATTCTTTGAGCGCCTTCACCTAAGCTACTAGGTATATTTTGAATTGCATTTATGTTTAGGAATGACCACTTGAGATTGGAGCACCTTTCAGGGAACTTGACCCTGGAGAAAACTGATTATTCTCTTAGCAGCCACTGACTATCTGTGGCTCATCATCTAGGGGTGGGACCTAGTGAAATTTCCTCCATCCACACTGGCAATGTCAACTGATGCTACTATTATTCAGGTTTGATAAGGCACCATACTTTGAGATTTCCTAGGTGTAGCTTCCCTATCATGTCTATAAGACAGTATCTAGTGGCAGGCATCCCAATCCACTGGTTCTTACAATATTTCCACCATCTCTTCAATGATTTTTCCCTGAACCTTAGGAGTAGAGAAACTGATTATAAATCATTTCTGTCATTTCAAGAAATTTAACCATTATATGCTTAAATTTATTCATCTATAAAAGAGAGATGATAGTAATTTTTCCTGAGAACCAAAATGAGTTTAGTTTGTATATAGCACTCAAAGTAACGGCAGAAGCAATTGTAAAATACCATGCAAATATTAGAATTAATATATGTCAAACTTGCTTTCCTAAAAGGCATTGGTAGTATACATGGATAGCAATAAATTAAGCCCATTCTATTTTCATGAAGATTTCTGTCAGTACATGAGTATGTTTAAAAGTATGTTTAGGAATAGATAGAAAACACTTTTTTACTGCTTTATTAAAATTACTTGGTATCTGAGGGTAACTGCCTCTGATTAGATGTTATAATTTAATATGCAATTAGGAGATTGTCACTTTAAAAATATACAAAACTCAGAATATGCACATTATCTTTTAATAGTTAAAACTGTAATTTAAAAATAATTAGCACTTTTATATCCTTTTTTTTTTTTGCTCTTAGTCATCTCATCTGTGTTTTTTTATCATGTATTCTTCGTCATCTTATACTTTCCTATTCTGGAATTTGGCTTACTTTGTTCACTTATTTAATAATTTTATTTTAACGTATTTATCAAGAAATTACTTTAGCAACCTTGTTAATCTAAAAACATGCTTTTAAATTTTGTTTCTGCAAATTAGCTTTGGCCATTGCTTTTCTTTAAAATAATTACAATTTTTCATCCACTGTCTTATGGAAATATACTCATACTCATATTCTCTCTCTCTTATCTGGGACAGTCTCAATATATAGCCCAGGTACCTTGGAGCTCATAATCCTCCTCCCTCAATTTCTCAGCTGCTGGAATTATAGACATTTACCACAAAAATGAGCTTCTTTTCCTCTAGTCCCTCTGTTGAATGGATGCAAAGTTACTTCTTGCCATTATAATTATGAACTGTTACTATGAATATATCTTGAAATAATTATCCTTTCAACACATTTTCTAACTTTAGTGAATATATAAATTTCTAGTCCAAAATTTTTCTATTATAGCCTTTATTATTGCTTTCTTCCTTAGAAACAGTGATGAGAACTAAAACCTGTCTTCTAAAAGCTTGCTCTCATATTTCCATTTTCCAAATATGTAAATATCTTAGTACTGTACTATCGAAGTCCACTTTGTGTCTCCCTCTCATATTATCTTTAACATCTGATTTTCATTTTAATGATTTTAGTGTAGTCTTACTTCTATTTCTGTTTGGTTACTTTTACTACAATCATTTGTCTTAGCTCACTTGGTGGTCTCTGTTTACAGTGGACATGCCTTCTTTATAATATGGTATCTTTTAAAAAAATAGGCAGTGTTCTGTTGACTCTTATTGTGGACATTAAACAAACTTAATAAGTCTACTTCATGAAGTAGGATTATTTTAATATTATAGTGTATTAGAACATATTTTCTTTCTCTTTCTTTTTAAAAGCTAATCCTTACATATTGACCTAATTTAAGAATAGACACCTCATAACTTTGCTTAGCTCTCTAGTTTTCCCAGGTGTGTTAAAGGGCACAACGATACCTATATTTCCTTAGGGAATTCCTAAGGTATTATAGCTTTCCACACTTGAGCATTTCCTTCCTCTTTGACAACTGCCATCCCATTCCTACCAGACAAAAGAAGATCTAGTCTATTACAAACATCTTCAAGACATTTTCTGTAGTATAAATATATTCAAACAATGTTATACTATATGTATCATTTGAACTTTGCTTTTGTTACTTATACATTTTTTTTTTAATGAGAGGGTCTCACTTCTGACATTCTTGGGAACTTACTATACAGATGAGGTTAGGCATGAATTTACAGACTTCTGCCTACCTCTGCCTTCCAAGTGTTGGGATTAAAGGTGTAAGGCAAAATGTCTATCTCTCCTTATGCAAATCTTGGTTTCAATCATATCAGAATATTTTATGTAATCCAAAATACTATAAAATCTGATTTGCCATTCAGAGACCAATGATTTTTTTCTTCTTAAATCATCATAAAAATTTTCAGTTACAGGATCAAGAAGTAGGTCTCCTAGAGATAAGACAGCACAGTACTGGATAGTTTTTTTTATTGTTTCTTCCAGAGTCATTTAACCCATTAAAAACAGATTTTGTCTTAGAAGTCTCTTCTTGAGCTTATGAACTACTATGATTTCTTATTCTGTTATAAATGCACATTTCTCTATTCCTCCAAAAAGCCCACTATCTCTTTTTACTGTGTCAACAGTAGGCATTTTCTCTGCTGTATTAAAAATGTCATCTTGATTGTAACTATTATCATGATCATCTTGATTCAGGACCATTTTGACTATTCTACTACCAGCCAACGAATGAACAACTAGAGTCCCAATGATGATATAATCTTTTATAGCCACTTCAATGAATATTTTCATTTTCGCATAGGCAGAAGCTTTATCACAACAAATCTTGAAAATTTTCATGCTGAGTCATGCTTTAAACTTCTGCACCTAGCTTAGGAAATACAGTTCCTTTTAAGTTTCAGTTCATTGAGGTAGATCAGCCCTTGTTTCATCATGATGAGCACAGTAATTGGAAGGTGCTGATAGCAATGTAGTGGCTCCGCTATTTAAATACATAACTTGAGATTTCCAGTCTTTAATTTATGTGGCATTTTGTTCAGCATTTTAGCACAGTACTTCAACAGTTCATCCTTCTGTTTCTTTATGTCATACACAGTGGTCATTGCAATACCACGTTCTCCTGGAGAAGTTTTGTGCTTTACACTGCTGTCCATTTTGTCAACAGTTTACATTCCGTATTATAGATAAACGTATCTTTATCCTTTTTCACCCTGACACAAACAGATTATCTACAGATATTTTGGGGGTATTTTTAGCAATATCTTTATATTACAGAAGGAATAAACAAAATTAAAGCAAGAAATGAACAACTGTAAGTAATGTCCACAGGTCTCATGTGAAACCTGCGGCTGGCCCGCACATACACCATTTCATTATTCTTTGTAGGTATTCTTGCATTAGCTACATGAAAAAGATATAGCACAGCTGTTGGTGAGGTCTGAGAGAGTCATCTTTTCCTTGGTGATGTTGGATTAGTTGTGTTGTGAGCCTCAATGTTGAATGGGCCCCATCATATGAAGTCAGATAAGGAATTTTCCACTTACAATGTCAGCAGCTTCAGAAATGTGGTCAAAAAGTTTAGATTTTTGAGTAGGTGAGATGGCTCAGTGGGGAAAGCCTGATGACCTAAATTTGAATTCTGGAACACACATTGTAGGAGAGAAGCCACTCCTACAAGTTTCCTCTGAACTCCGCATGTGTGTGTGTGTTACATGTATATATGTGCATACACCAGTTTCATATTTTGAATGAAATTCAGGATTACTACTTAACCTATAATATGCTTAAAAAATTAAACTAATGATTGGAAAACATACACACACACGCACACACACACAAACACATATGCTATTATTTCCTTCCTGTTCTCCAGAGCCTATGGATAGCAGTACCTAAAAAGAGGGATAGTTATTGTTTTTTCCTAGGCTAAAATAGAGAAGAGTACATCAGTTCTTCTTTCCTGAGATCACCCTAAAGAAAGGGCAAAAGTCATCAAGGTGTTTACTAACAACAAGAGATACCTTTTCTCTGAGTATAATTTAACAACACCTCACTTCTCATAAAAAAAATTAGCAAACTTCCAATCAGATTGTCCTCTGATCTGTACATGCATACTGTGGCATGTATTCATATCTCCCCCATCATCAACAAAATGAATAAATGTAAAAAAAGTAACCAAAGAAATGAATGGATTTAACAAATAATGACAAATTTCTAGATAGATTAGTTCTTGAGTACAAGATCAGAGCAAGGGAGTTTGATTTTCTTAGGAAATATCTCATCCAAATGAATATAGCGACAAATTACTCCCACTGTAGAAGAAAATACCTTGTTCTGGTATATTTTTAAATCATAAATTACTGAGAAAAATTGTACTTTCCAATTCTGTTTGCAAGATTACTTTACTCAAATCTTGCCTCATAATATTCAAATATTAGATCAGAGCATTTTTTTTCTATTGGCTAAAACAAGTTGACTATAACTAACATGTTTTGATTCTTTTAGAGGTTTCCTAAAATGTATACTTAACTAAAGTAAGTTAGTTGATCTTTTTTTTTTATTATGGATTACTTTTTTCAAGCCATATTCTTTTAATTGCTAAGTAAATATTATCTAATGGAGATAAAAATACATCCAAATCTACTTACCACATGAAGGATTTTATTCTCAGTTTCATATACAGTGCAATCCTGAAAACAAGAACAAATATTATGTTCAAAAAATTAATATCCATTTTAATGTATGTTTTTAGAAATTGTACTAAGAAAAATTCTTGACATTCCATGCAAAAACTCAAATAAGAATGAGTAAAATCTGGAAATTTTACTTTTTTTTTTAACCCAAGTAGAACCAATGGTAAGGTTAGATGGTCAGTTACTTTGCCTTAAGTATATTTTCTAATTTGACTAACTTTAAGCACATATAACAAGGGGCAATAGATGTTAAGATTACTTTTGGAAACATTTAAAAAATTATTAGAGATTTTCTATCTAAAATTTTTACCCATGATAAGTAAATCTGTCAAACTATCTCCAAGATTTTAAACATTGATTTATTATGATTAGACCATTAAGAATACACTAACATTTATTTCAACATTGATATCAAAATCTCATACTTTTCTATTTTTAACTACTCAAACTAATCAAATCTACTTTCTATTATATATTTTAAAATATCAGGTTTATAGTTCTTACATAAATTTGAATCTTTGAAATTGTAAAAAAAAAGTTAAAAATCAACTACATTTTTTCTTAACTATTTGTTCACCAATAAATCACAATATGTAAAAGTGACTTCTGCTTAGAAACATAATGGTTGTCATTTTCTTCAAGAAATTTGTAAATTGGCCATAGACATGATATGTAGTAGTAGTGACCCAATAGGAGTGATCTGAGAATTAAGTGAGAAAAATGAGATAAACTGCTTGCCTCAGAGATTGACACATAAGGAGTAATAAATATGCTATTGTAAAATATTACTCTTGTTTGGCAATTAGCATGGCGAACAATAAGGGCTGATGAGAACCCAAGGACAATGGCACGGGGTTTTGAACCTACGTAATGTGCTGGCTTTGTGGGAGCCTAGCCAGTTTGGATGTTCACCTTCCTAGAAATGGACGGAGGGGGGAGGACCTAGGACTTTCCACAGGGCAGGGAACCCTGACTGCTCTTTGGGCTGGAGAGGGAGGGGGAGAGGAGTGGGGGGAGGAGGAGAAGGGTGGGAGGAGGGGGAGGGAAATGGGAGGCTGGGAGGAGGAGGAAATTTGTTTTTTTTTTCCTTTTCTCAATAAAAAAAAAGTTAAAAAAAATAAAAAATAAAAATAAAAAATAAAAATCCATTACTTTTACTTTCAAACTTCAAAGGGAATCTCCTTAAGAAAGTAAATATCATTTAAGTTAATATTCTACTAGTGGCCTAATAATTTATATACCCTACTAGCAGCATAATACTCATACAAGATAATAATTTCACGCCATATCTAATATGGATATAACACAAAGAAATGTTGAAATAATCTTAAACGTATCTTTAGCAACACTGCTTATTGTAAATAGCATTAATGTGCTAAACCTGTTCTGTATGACTTATAAGACAAAACAAAAAAGTCATGTCTTTTTCACCTGCATCATTAATAATTATTAATTTAGCGAGGGAGAAAGCAGATACATACATATTACTAAGGAAGTAAAAACAACCACCCTTATACGATCTTGATGCTGTATATATGTATGTATGTATGTATATATGCTCACTGAGAAGGAATAGAAACAAAGATCAACTTAATAATAATGAAAATTTCAGTTTTGTTGTCTTGTACCATTTTCCAGAACTTCTTGGAAAATGGCTAATTTCAAATAAGATTGGAACTATATATAAGAATGGACTATATTTTGATTTAAGATAGAATGAAACTATCTAAGATGACTAATATTGACCTAGGATTTAACATGAAGAGATTCCTACTTCCTAAAAAGAATAATCTGAGGACATAAGAGGATAATAATGCAATGGGTGGAAACATACTAAATAATTTAGAATATTAACTACATTAATATGTCTAATGCTTTAATATGAAATTTAAAATTACTAGAGGTAATAAAATATATTTAGTAAAATAGTTCAGTGATATAAAACAGATTGGACCATGTAAAATATATGTCTTTTCCTCTTGAATGAGTAACTACTATTCTATTGTGCTAGGCACTAAAAAATGAGTATAATATGCTGTGATGGTTTAATTGTCAACTTGTCATGACCTAGAATTATCTGGGCAGAGAATCTCAAGTACTGATTGTCTACATTTGGGTTGGCCTGAGGCCAAGTCCAGAAGGTTGACTTAAGGTAATATAGGAAGACCTAGTTTGCTCTGCTTGGTGCCATTTCATTGGCAAGGTTCCTGAATGATGTAAGAATGGAAACATTCATTTCTCTGCTCGTCACTGTGAATTTAATATCAGCTGATTAAAGTCCTGCCTTGACTTCCTCACAATGATGGACTGTAGCTGGATTATTTAATGAAATAGCCCTTTTCTCCCCTAAGTTACTTCATGTTCAAGTATTTTATTACAGCAACAGAAAGAAAAGCAAATCACATAGCATTTGCACAGATGTGCCAAAACTTACACAGGAATCCACAGTTTTCATGACATTTAAAGTTTAATGTCTTGTAAAGCATAAATGCCACAAAATTATGTGAAAGAGCAAGTATTTATTTTTAAAAGTTAATACCCTTACTATAAAATTCAATAAAACTACATTACAGTATTCCTTGTATCAGTCAAATTTCAAACCTGCAAAACTTTTCATCAGCTGTGGTATATTACCTCAACTTATTACACTTATAGTTGTAGATTTAATGGTATTTGGAAAAATGAAATTGTGGTACATGCCCAATTATTCTGATGTAATCTTTTAAGCAAAAGTCTAAAGAAATATATATCAGGTGACCAAGGTACTTAAAATTTTCAACCAGAGTAATAAAGCATATACAAATGTTAGAATTAAACTTACCATTTCACATAAACATAGCTAAATGATTGTAAGTGAACTTTTTTTAAAAATGAATTTTCAATTGATATTTTTAAAATTTTTAAGTGTTTGTGTATAAAGCCTTAAATATTAAATAAAAACATTTGGAATTCCTTTGATTAGTTTAATTGACAAAATTATAGGGCTCAAAGAGCAGAGGAGAAAGCAGCCAAATTCTACCTAAAAACAATTAGTAGTGGTTGCTTTTAAGTGGCAGCACATATAAAGACATTTGTACAAGAGCAAGGCAACTGCAGTCAAACACACTTAATGTAATCAAGTTCAAATTTTAGTTTTCCGTGCAAGAATTACTCAAGAGTCCAAGCTAAAATGCAGCCATGGGTTTCATGTCCAGTAATATAGATTCAGTAGGCTCACAAATGGAGACTGTCAAGAGGATTTTGATGAGATGGCATTTTTAGAAAAAGTTTATTTATCAAGATTAAGATTATTATATAAGAGGAAAAATTAACCAAATTAAAAATGAAGTGTACAGAATTCACAAACTAGTAACCTGGTTTAAAAACATTGTTACTGGCTTACTCTAAACAGTCCTGCATTCCTTAGAATCTCATGGTGCTCCTTAGAATCTCATGGTGCATACATTCACACAATTTATCACTTGATTTTTTTCATCCACTAAACTTATTTAATAGTTCACTATTTTGAATAGACACTTATATACTTGTTTGTATCTCTTCTTTGTTTTGCCTATGTTGGCTTGATTCTTAATGAAAGCCATAGACTTTTATCAAGGACAAGGTCACAGTATATTAAATACTGTATAACAAAACCAAGAAACAGAGTCAGTACATAATAACCTGTTATCACAGAAAATAATAAAAGCTAAATAATTATATGATATTTTTAAGCACGAATTTTATGTAATTTGTTTTTATCATGGTAAATATTTAAACAGCCCCAGGTAATTTGGAGGATTAATTTTATTAGTAAGTTATTTTACTTCCTTAAAAATAGGATGTTAAAACACTTGCTTCTCAAAGTGTAGGTTTTATTAACACTTGGGGCTAAATATTGTCCTAAAAATGTATTTCAAGGTTTTAAAAGAAAATAGTGTTGTATATAGAAAAATCTACATTCTTATGAACATACCCATGGTATGGAAAGATATAACTCTTATGTTCTAGTTTTTCATGTTTAAATTAAATTTAGTTTTTAAAAGTTGGTTTTAGAACAGTATACATTCCCCAAATTCTTTTCAATAGCTTAAGTTGTCTTTTGCTCTATATGCAAAATGAAATTTGCAATTCTTCATCCTTATCCATATATTGCTTCTTTAAATCATGCAATTTGAATTTTATGCACGTAATTCTTAATGAGAATGTATTCATTAAGTGACGATTGTTCCTCCAATTTTGATCACTTCGTATTTCAAAACATATATACACAGAAATACCATTTTAGAGATGAGCTGTATTATAGATTATAATTAATTATCATTTTTGTAAAATAATGATATCTTTGCTATACTGAGCACAGAACACACAAAATTTATTCTATTCCTACACACTACTACTGGTATACCATGTACTGGTCGACAAGTTTTAAGCACTATTTAATACCCTGAATAAACAGCACTTCTCATTAATATATGTATATTATACTCTCAAGAACATTACACAGGTTATTAAATACATAAAAAGAAATAGTATAGGTCTCTAATACTGTATACAATTGTATTTTATGAAACTGTATTTTTATAACTGCCTTAGATTTTCATCAGTCTAATTTTAGTGTTGATACCATACTTTTATAAATAATGAATCTTAGAAGATGTTAAATGACCCATCAATGCAAGCCTCTGAATACAGTATATTCATATTGTATGTTCACACCTCTATATAATTCTGTTATTAAGCTACTGAGATGACTTATATGCCTGAGTAACTCAAGCAACAAGTTGCCTCTTTCATTGTTTTACTTTGTCACTCCCTTGATGTGGGATGTCATTCTGTATATATTTTGCTTTTACTGGTTGAAGAATAAAGCTGTTTCGGCCAATAGCTTAGCAAAGTAAAGCCAGGCAGGAAATCCAAACAGAGATATAGAGAGTAGGCAGGGTCAAAGAGACACCATGCAGTTGCCAAGGGAGAAAGATGCCAGAACATTACTGGTAAGCCACAGCCTCGTGGTAACA